TTTTTTTTTTGGGGGGGGGGGCAACGCTCAGGAGAGCTGGTGGGGGGCTTCGAGCATCTCCATGAGGAAGGTGTCGATGGGGGTGTCCCCGATGAGCTTGAAGAAGAAGAGGTGCTCGAGGCATTTGAGGCCGATGGAACGCAGGGCTGGGAGGCGGAGGAGCAGCTTGGCGAACCTTGGGGGGGCCCAGGGGGAAATTTTAGGTGGAGGGGGCAGGCATGACACGATGACTACAAGACACCCCCCCCCCCAAAACCCTTTCTCTACCTGCCCTGTTGCTCCGGGTATTTCTGCTTGCAGTAGGACTCGAGGGAGGCGTAGACTTTCTCCCGGAGCAGCTCTACCTCACCGGGGTTGGAAAGCCCCTTGGCATCTAGGAATACAAAATGGGGTGAAGCGAGGGAGTCCCCAGAATGTGTCCCCCCCATGAACCCCCCCGAGGGCCATACCCGGATTGAAGAGGATGATGGCGCGAAGACAACCCAGCTCCGTCTTATCCATACGCATGTCTCGCATTTTGGAAACGAGTTCGGTCAGCACCCTGTGGCGAGAAGAGAAAAAACCCGGGCAGGTGAGGTGTGTGAGTATGATTTGGGGGGTCCGTCCCCCCCCCAGTAAGACCCCCTAAAATCCCCCCCCAACCCCCACCTATCGAAGATGGCCCCCACGCCGGCGCTGTGAGCACTGTTGCGGTGGACGTGGAGGCCGGTGGCCAGCAAGATCCCGTCTTTGACTGAGATGGAGCGGTGGGAGAAGGAGGCGATGAGCAACTCGTTCCAACCTGCGGCAGGGGGGACGACGCGGCGTTAAATCCCCCCCCTCCCCTGCCCCCCAAAATCGAGGGGGGGCACCCCTGAGCCCCTAACCCCCCCCCTCACCTGCCGCATCCCAATCCCAAACACCTCCATGTCTCCACTGGCTCCCACCTCTGCCGGGGCAGGGGCCTCAAATCCCCTCAGGTACCCCAAAACCTGACCCCCATGGGACAGATATTCTTCCCTCCCCCCAGGCCCTTCCCATGGCACAGACAGTCCCCCCTTTTCCACCCCGGACAACCCCATTTAACCCCACAATGTCCTTTCCATGGAGCCAGTGCCCCCCCTGCAACCCACTGGGCACCCCCAGTGTGGGGCAGACCCCCCCCTTTTGTGGGGAAAATCCCCTCCTGGACCCCCAAGTGCCCCTGTCATGGGGCAAATCTGCTCCTGTGGGTCCCCAGACATTCCTTCTATGGGGCAGAACACCCCCCCGTGGGGCAGACCCCCCTCCTGTGGACCCCCCAAAATCTCCTCTGTGGGGCAGACCCCCCCTCCACAGGACACATCCCCCCAGGGCTCCTGAACCCCCCCCTCTATGGGGCAGATCTTCTCCTGTGGCCCCCCAGAACCCCCTTCCGTGGGGCAAATCCCCCCTCCCCCCCCCCCAAAAAACCTGCTCCACGGGGCAGACATCTCATGCGCAAGACACATCCCCCCGAAGCTCCCCCCAAAACCCCCCTCCATGGGGCAAATACACCCCGGTGACATCCAACCCCCCGCAAGGAGACCCTAAACACCCCCACCGTGGGGCAGGAAACCCCAAGACACCCCTCCCCACTTCGTCGTGGGGCTGGCCCCCCCCCTCCATTTTCCTCACCCGCCCGCAGCAAGATGACTTGGTCGTCCAGGGGCAGCTCGGAAAAATGGGGGATCCTCTTGGCCCACTCCACCAGCGTGAAGAGCTGCTTGTCGGCGGCCTGGCAGATGTTGGTCACCGGGTCATTGGGCTGATGAGTAACGTGAAGGGGGGGGACACGTAAAAAGGGTCAGCGAGGTGGCCCGGAACCCCCCACCCCCCGGGGACTCCTCCTGCCCCCGCTCCAAAATAACTCACCGAGCTGCCCCCCGTGCCGGCACCGTCCACGTTTTGGTCCGATTTCTGCTCTACCGCCAACTCGGCTTCTAAAATCTTTTCCACCGGCATTTCCTCGTTGGCATTGGCCCCCAGGTCACCGTCCCCTTCCTTCTCCTTCCCCCGTTGTCGCTCCTCCTGCACGGCTGAGGACGGAGCCGGTGGCGGTGAAGAAGAGAAGAAGATCTGGGAGGTCTCTATCCCGTATCCCGGCGTTCCCAGTTACCTTCCCGTTTCATGCCGGTGGCCAGGCACTTCTGGTAACGGCAGTACTGGCAACGGTTGCGTTGGCGTTTGTCCACCACGCAGTCCTTGTTGTCACGGCAGGTGTAGGTCAGGTCCTTGCGGATGGTGCGTTTGAAGAAACCTTTGCAACCTTCGCAGCTGTACACCCCATAATGCTTCCCTGCGAGGAAAGAAAAGGGGGGGGGTCAGCGGTGGGACCCCCAACTTGGCCCCACACATCCCCAAGGTGGGTGGGTGGAGGGAGGGGAGAGTGTTCTGCCCCAGGGTGGTGGGCTGGGGGCAGGATGGAAGTGGCGTCGTCCTCTGGGGTCCACCTCAAGGAGGACCCTGGTGTCCCCATCCCCATGGCCCACCCCACAGAGGACCCTGGTGTCCCTCCATCCCACCCTGAAAAGGATCGAGGTGTCCCTGTCTGCTGTCCCACCCTAGAGAGGACCCTGGTGTTCCCACATCCCATCCTAAGAAAGATCAAAGTGTCCCCATCCCCTGTGTCCCACCTGAGAGAGGACCCTGGTGTCCCCACGTCCCATATCTCACCCTGAGGAGGATCGAGGTGTCCCCGTGTCCCACCCCAGGGAGGACCCTCGTGTCCCTCTCCTCCATATCCCACCCCAGGGAGGACCGACGTGTCCCCATACCCCATTCTGAACATGCCTGAGGTGGCCCCGGTCCCTGTCCCACCCCAGGGAGAACTCTGGTGTCCTCGTACCCCTTATCCCACCCTGAAGATGACCAAAGTGTCCCCGTCCCTTGTGTCCCACCCCAGAGAGAACCCAAATGTCCCCACTCCCTATATCCCACCCTTAGAGAACCCGAATGTCCCCACAAGAACCCCAAGGAGGAGCCAGGCGTCCTGGTGCCCCATAGGGACACCACAAAAAGTTCAGACGTCCCCACAGAGATCTCACAGAACACCCAGGTGTCCCAATGCCCCACAGGGACCCCACGGAAAGCCCAGTACCCCATACGCACTTCACTGAAGACCCCAGTGTCCCCAAAAGGACCTCACAGAGAACCCTGGTATTGCAGTGTCCCATATGAACCCCATGGAAGATCCAGATGTCCCCGCAGGACCTCACAGAAGACTCCAGTGTCCCCAAAGAAACCCCTACAAAGCATCCAGGCATCCCAGTACCAGCCCCCCAGGGACCCCCCATGGAAAACCCAAGCTCGCAGGTACCTGAGGACCGATCCCCACAGATGGCGCAGAGACGTTTGCCAGCGACGCCAGGACCGTGGGGGTGACAAGGGACAGCCCGGATCCCCAAAGGCGGCTTCACGTCATCTGAACTGCTGACGGGGTGCAGCCCCGAGAGGTTGACCGTGGAGTTGATCTGCGAGAGAGGGGGAGGCAGGCAGGGCCGGTGGGAGCCTCCCCCCCACCCTCACCCCAAAATCCAACACCCCCCCCCAATTTGGGGGGCTCCCCCCTTACCTGGGGGCTACTGACGGGACCGTAGGCGATGGCGGGGGTGGCGGGGAGCCCCGGGGAACCCATGGAGGAACTGATGACGGGGAAAGGGGAGCCCAAGCTGGCGACAGGAGAGTTGAGGGAGGAGGTCATGGCCGAACCGATCATGGAAGGGTGATGGAGGGGGGC